TGTTTCACAAAAAAACGATCCCACCATGTCTTTATCTGAGACTTCATCACCTTCCCAAAAATAGATTTTTCTATGCAGTCACTCCAAAACTGTCTGATTTCTTATTGCTCATTCTAAAGAAATAAAAACACTTAATAGTGCAACAGATATAGACGGATATAAAATCTTTTGTTATGATGATGATGGTTTTCGTAAAGCTGCGCAGCACTGTGTGTCAGTGGAATCATATCATGCATTCTTGAAATACTTTTTACGCATATGTTTATAATTATAAGTCTATGTATATTAATACTTTCCTATCGATGTTCTTCGGAAAAAGAGCTTATATGACATATATGAAAGGGAACAAGTTAGAATTACTCTGAAAAAAATTCGAAAATTTTTTGTCGGCGGTACGGTATTTCGCGAGACGGTATGCTCAGAACCTGCGCGGTAACGGTAGGGTACGGTATTAGATAATTATCAGACGAGACGGTACTGTACGGTATGGAACTAAAGAAGACGGTTCGCGGTACGAGACGGTATTAAAATTTTGCAATACCGTCGGTCTCTGATTCCGACAACATGGATACTGATGAACATGAAAATCAATCTAACACAGGTAATTGATTATTTGTATTTATTGTTGAAGTTGAGGGATATCAAATGTGCTTACATAATAGGTGAACAATATCAGAACTCTAAATACTATGTCTCTGAGGAGTTGTCAAAATAACATTTGATTGGAAACGGATTCCTAATAAAGTCGAAAGAATTTTTTTAGAAAATGCAAATGATGAAGCACATGATGACGACGATGATGAAGAAGATCGAGATTTGGTTACGGACTCACGGAATCAAGAAGTGGATAGCGATGATAACAGCGACATGAGTACCGACGTTAATGATGAAGACAGATATGTTGCTATAATTAAAATGAAATTAGCTACGGCAATTCAAAAAGGTCGTTCTTTAATTAAATTGGTCAAGCGTTCGCAAATCATCACAATGTTTGTTGATAACGAAAAGAAATTAGCTAAGATAAAGCGTCGCTTATATATCGACTGTATGACTCGTTGGAATTCGACTCTTGTAGCATTACAATTTAGTGGATCATAAACCAGTTTTAATTAGTTTATTTGAAAACAAAGGACAACTACCACTTACTTCCAAGCAAAAAGAAAAACTGACTTTATTGGAATTATCGAGCGATGACTACACGATCTTTAATACATTGATTGAAATTTTCCAACCTTTTTATCGTGCCACAAATTTGCTTAGTGCTTCAAAGTATCCGACAATTGGATTATATCTTCTCGTCATACGCGAACTGAAAGAACACTTCGAAAAAGAAGAAAACAATGATTCAAACTTATTGATCAGCTTGAAAAATTTCATTCTTGAATCGTTCGATAACTATTTTGCTGAAAATGGCAATCAAAATTTTTTCCTAACAGTAAGTTGATCTGAATAACAAGTAGAATCAGAATAAATGTTCATTCCCTCATTCTTATAGTTTGAATTGTGAAAGTTTATGCATCCACATTGATGACACTATTTGAGAGAGGACATGGCAAAAAGACGACATAAATCTAGAGTGGAAGTGTAACAATATCATATGGCTCTAGAGTATCAACACTGTTGACATTATTCCATTCTTAGTCGAAAAGAGTCATTTATGTGTTTGTTTCGAATTTAATAGAATTAACTGTTAAAATAAAACAAGAGATAAAAGTTGTGTAGAAAACTTAATTCACTTTGGTCAGGATAGTTCTACATTACGATCAGAATAGAAACCTTTTATTCTATTGTTCTCATGTTTATTTCCCTACTAAAACTATTGTGTAACGCGTACGAATTAATGACGATACTCTACCTGCTTGAGCTGTATCATTTTAATATTTGTTTTCTTTTATCTAGCTTTATGGATATTTCGATCCATTATGTTATCGCGTGCTGAGTACAAAAGAACGAATGAAAGTCGAACGACATTTGAAACAAAAACATCGAGATCAAACCAATTCTCAACCAACAACANTATAATTAAAATGAAATTAGCTGCGGCAATTCAAAAAGGTCGTTCTTTAATTAAACTAGTCAAGCGCTCGCAAATCATCACAATGTTTATTGATAACGAAAAGAAATTGGCTAAGATAAAGCGTCGCTTATATATCGACTGTATGACTCGTTGGAATTCGACTCTTGTAGCATTACAATCTTTAGTGGATCATAAACCAGTTTTAATTAGTTTATTTGAAAACAAAGGACAACTACCACTTACTTCCAAGCAAAAAGAAAAGCTGGGCTTATTGGAATTATCGAGCGATGACTACACGATCTTTAACATATTGATTGAAATTTTCCAACCTTTTTATCATGCCACAAATTTGCTTAGTGCTTCAAAATATCCGACAATTGGTTTATGTCTTCTCGTCATACGTGAACTGAAAGAACACCTCGAAAAAGAAGAAAACAATGATTCAAACTTACTGATCAGCTTGAAAAATTTCATTCTTGAATCGTTCGATAACTATTTTGCTGAAAATGGCAATCAACATTTTCTCCTAACAGTAAGTTGATCTGAATAACAAGTAGAATCAGAATAAATGTCCATTCCCTCATTCTTATAGTTTGAATTGTGAAAGTTTATGCATCAACATTGATGACACTATTTGAGAGATGACATGGCGAAAAGACGACATAAGTCTAGAGTGGAAGTGTAACAATATCATATTGGTCTAGAGTATCAACACTGTTGACATTATTCCATTCTTAGTTGAAAAGAGTCATTTATGTGTTTGTTTCGAATTTAATAGAATTAACTGTTAAAATAAAACAGGAGATAAAAGTTGTGTAGAAAACTTAATTCACACTGATGAGGATAGTTCTACATTACGATAAGAATAGAAACATTTTATTCTATTGTTCTCATGTTTATTTCCCTACTAAAACTATTGTGTAACGCGTATGAATTAATGACGATACTCTACCTGCTTGAGCTGTATCATTTTAGTATTTGTTTTCTTTTATTTAGCTTTATGGATATTTCGATCCATTATGTTATCGCGTGCTGAGTACAAAAGAACGAATGAAAGTCGAACGACATTTGAAACAAAAACATCGAGATCAAACCAATTCTCAACCAACAACAACGATGGCATCGTCCACATCGACCTCTTCATCATCTACAAATGAAAATTCTTCGATACGAAAACCAGACCTTTTGCAAATATTTCTCAAGTCTGTCGGTAAACATGCTCCAACCGGAAGTGTCTTTCCTAAAACGTTATCGGAAGAATTTGCTAACTATGCACATATTTGTAAAAATGAAAAGGCTGAAGAAGCTGTTTCGTTTTGGAGAAAACATGGAGAGCAAATGCCGTTGTTGAAAGCTTTGGCACAACAATATTTAGCAACTCCTGGTACCAGTGTTTCATCAGAATCGGCTTTTAGTACTTCAGCATATGTAGGACGAAAAGAGCGAGCTCGACTCAGTCCAGAAAACCTCAGTTATACAGTATTTTTGAAAGACAAGTTACAATCAAGTTAAACATGTATTCGTCAGTGTATTTTCACCACGTGTCAAACTATTTATCTTCGAATTATTATTTAACTGTTTTATTCACTCAGTAATTTCATTTTGCACGTAATTATTTATTTATTCACCTGGTTATGCATTGTCACTTTATTCAATTACTTATTGAGTCATCTTCATACTGTGAAAAGATTTAATCGCATATTTATCTATGTACATTATTTTAACCGTTACCAAAATGATTATTATGATATTCTCGTACTTGTCCAAAGCGTATTATCGCGTCCTATATTCATTGTTGCAATTAACTTTTTTCTTACTGTCCTTTCTTCTTTATACTACAAACTAATTTGGTCAAATGTATGCTTCCGTGCAATTTATGATTCATATTCTCTTTGTTTTACGCAACACGATACGGCTTATTTTAATAATATTTGGTGTTGCCTTTTTGACTGTTATCTGTGTATTGTGCATATCGTATAAAAACTCAAAACTAAATGCTATCACAAATTGACCACTTAAATAGGTAAGAACAAAGTCTTCTGTTATGGGTGATCTTATGTTGAGCATAAATCTAGTTAACAATGGATTTAGATATGTATTTATCGCTAAATCGAGGACCAAATTGAAAATATTGTCTCATAATCTTTCCGGTAAATTCATCGATGTTACTTCTCTCTGACATATGAATGTACTAATATCGGTTGTTTTTAATTCAATGGATTTTATTTCCTCTTTTCTGGAATAGATTGTATCATTCTATTTAAATCACTGAGATTCAAGCCATAACTGTATATTCTATGTAGGAACTAGAGCACATTCCAAGAGATATATCTTATTTGATACAATGGTTCTCATGCTGTAATCATCAACATCAACAAATGGCATGGTAAGCTATAGACAACGTATAGAACTGCTTTTCTTGGTACACAGTAACAAGGTCAATCTTCATTAAACGTCGAGATCGTGGACTACTCTCCATGTGATATTTGTAAATGGTTTTTGATAATCATCAGGAACTGATCAGTCTTGTGATCGGTATACCTCAACAATGTAAATATGTTATTTGAATAGACATGACATAATCGACTTTTATTTTGTACTCACGCGGCTAATCGATGAATCTGCCTACCACTCATACATTTAGATAGAAGAATGGCTGATAATACTAGAATGGTCTGTTCCAAAATATTAAGTGGTCGTTGAGATACCTAGAAATCATCCTGATTCCTAAATAACGAAAACTGGCATGTGCTCACTGGGCAAGATGATAGTACAAATGAATTGTGCTAATCCTTATCTTTATTTTATATGTACTTTAAATTTGAGTAGTTTACTGATCAGAAATCACCATTTAAGATTCAGCTTTGTATGAGTTTTGAGTCATTGAAAAGAAGATTTACTCGAATTCTTCTAGATTTACATCAATTCTGTCTAGATTTGATCGATTCGTATTAATTTAGTACTAGTTTAAAACTGTTTCATTTCAGCACATATAAATCCATGCGATTTATGGATCTTTCGAGACAGTTTCACATAAAAGAGTCGTAATTATGTTGAAATCATAGCCGTACTCAGTCGATTTCAGTAATTCTGACACAATTCTATTCGATTCCCACCAATTCTGGGTCGATTCGAATTCCAATTCCAACCAATTCCATTCGATTCCGATTCTAGAATTGGAATCGGATTGTTTGGAATCGGGATTGGTGCATGCCGACTGCTTGATAGTTCCTTTGAATGAAACTGATCTATGTCCACCAGTCCTTGTGAAAGAACTGGTAAGTATAGATCAGTTCCATTCAAATGAACTGAGCGCAGAGTTCCTTACCCTAGTTCTTTTCACTTTGGAACTTTGAACGGTCCTAGACCCATTTTGGACCATTGATTTATAATGCAACAACGACTCAATTTTCTCCATATATAAATGTTTCAACTATGTTTAAAGCAATAATGATCGAAGAATGGAATTCATCAACATCTTATAAATCATTTTATCAATCATGTGCGCCTATTTATTGTACTTATTCTCAAAAAATGGGTACAAAATGTTTTTTGGAGTGATGATAACATTAATATCAATGATTGGTGGTATTATTGTTTCATTACGAATTCTAACACCATGTCTTATTAAAATTAATGAAGAAAGACAAGCAACAACAAGAACGAAGAGAATTAGTTCATCAAAACTACTTCAGTCAAATGAAAACTATAATACGAAATATGATCAAACTTTTGTCGAAAACATTGCTTGAATTAAATATCTTTTCATCACGTGATTTTGGAAGTAATGTTGATCGTTTGACTGCTAAATATCATGGTCAATGGGTAACTCGCCTTTATATTCTTTTATTTCTTAGTAGTTTTATAATTCTTATCTTTTATACGATTATTCGACCACATAACATAACAGAAACATTTCATCAACCATCATTTGATTTTTATGAAGAATTAAAACACAATTATGGAAATCAATTAAAATACTCATGTTCACAAATAGCATCACAATACAATAAATTTGTTAATATAACACCAATATTTCATCCAATTTGCTTAAGTCAATTCATAACAAAAGAATGGCATATGAATATCACTAGTGCTCTTACTTTGAAGTTCTCTCTTTATTCAACAAATGATTATCGTCGATTTCTTTCTGTTCATCTACAATATCTTCAAGGATTATGTCAAATTTCATACGATTCAGTTACTAACGCTATTAATGAATTTCTTCCATCATTATTAATTACAATTGAACTTCTTTCTCAACATGGTTTTTGTCATCATATTGAATCATTAATTGAACAAAGTCAATTTAAAGTTCCTATTCTATTTTCTCGTTTTCGTTCTCTGATTCAAACTTTCAATCATGGAAATGCTTTTATGACAACATTCGGAACCAATTATCAATATGTTTCGTTAATGCCTCCTGATGATTGGAATTATGCACATACAGATCCAATGATTTATGATGATAATTGTTCATGTGGTTTATCTTCAAATTGTACAACACAAGCGAATTTTATTGAAAATTCAACAATAATTCCAATCTTAGGATTCAAAATGGGATGTTTACCAAGTGAATCATTTCGATTATCGATACTTGAATGTTTTTATAATCAAACATGTCTTGATATTCTTCATCAATACACAAATATACAACATTCCTCAACTGCTCTTTCAACAAATCTTAGTTATTTTTCATCTGATACAACTATTAATGAATTGATAAGCTTTGCATTTACTGAGCAATGGTCTAAAAACATAAGCTATTCATTATATTATAATCAATGTTCACCTTCATTATGTTTATATACTCATATTGAAAAATTGAATACTTTATATATTATAACACTTTTTCTTAGTTTACAAGGTGGTTTAACATTAGTTTTAGGATGGATTTGTCCAAAATTAATTCGCATTATATTCAAATCTACCGTTATCGAAGAAGGCAAACAACATTAGTTCATCCTGACAATTCACTTCCAACATCATCAAATAATATCAATATTCAGAATATTAATCATCGGATATCTGAGTAAATTAATTTTTTCGATTTTAACCTTAAATTTATTTTATTTATACAAGAAATTCTGTCATCAACTCGACTTTATTCAAGGATAATTTTGATCATCTCATTATTAATACTGTTAATAATTAGTCTAAGTATCTTTTCAATTTATTATGCTCGATACGGTAAAAAATCTTCTTCTGTTGTATGTGAAGATTAATCGTGTTTTTGTTTTTCTTGATAGTTTCAATGGAAAATAGTACAACGAAAGAAAATTTAAATCCAACCACAACAAGTACAACTACAACATCTTCTATTGCAATGGGTTAGTGTATAATAAAGAAAACCAATAGACATCTGAACAGAATCTTTCTTTTTCAGAATCGCTTTGTAAAGATAAATTTTAAAGAATTTTAACTAATATATCTTGTCTTGCACATGATAGTGTCTCCTCTACTATTGTTATTAGTGATTTTAACAATGATAATCGAGATGATATCGTATATAGTTGTCGATCGAATGAAAATGTAGAGATAGTTCAATTATTAAGTAATGGAAACGGAGAATTTAATAAATCAATAATTTCATTATTATCAGAATCTGACAGGATGAATTTTATTCGTGTTGCTGATTTTAACAATGATAATCGATCTGATGTATTTTTAATACATGGATCTAACTTGCTAATTTTATTGAATAATGGTGATGAAACATTTCAATCCCCAACGGTGTTGTCAAATAATCAGATCATCATGATAGAGACTGTCTATATTGGCGATTTTAATAATGATAATCAATCTGATGTGCTTTTAACACGAAGTGTTCGATCAAAGGAAAACCTGATGGTTTTATTGGGCAATGGTAATGGAGCATTCTACCCACAAGTTATCATGAGTTGCCTAATTCGACTTATATTATAAATGGACATCTGATAGACTAATCTCACGAGGGAACATATTTAGGTGATTAAGCTATTTAGATCCCATCTTTTGGTGATAGATAGACCTCAATGAGGTATGAAAAACCTCAAGAGGATTCGTGCCCTCGCGCCTTTGTTCCACANACGAAAGAGAGAAGAATCGAGAAAAAGTGACCTTCGTGGGACTCGAACCCACACCTTCTGCTATCCGGGCAGATGTCCTAATCCAGTTAGACTAGAAGGACCATCTTAATCTCTAGTCTAGCGTTGTGTGATTCATCACAAACGCTAACACTATCTATTCCTAAACTGGCATGGATGAATAGGCATAGCTAAATCTATCGCTATCTATTCCTAAGTATTTATAGGAGTGTATTAGGAATTCATCACTTATATTATAAGTCGAATTAGGCAGCTACTCGTGATATTGGATATAATATGACAAAAGTTGTTTTTCGATGGAATGTGATTTTTTTTTTGAAGACTGTTGAACGTGAATTTTGATATTGATTATAAACGATTTATAGATAAATTCTCGGTCAATCACAAAAACAATAGAATTTCGCGATGTTAGATTGTATCTTTAGATTTTCTTAACAAAGTTTAGGTAATAGTCTTGTTCGAATCGCCTTACACATTATTTATCAGATTTAATCGTGGTGTATTATATTACGAAGACAATCTTGGAAATAGATCGGAATATGATGGTGGCGGTGGTAAAGAGTTATCTTGATCAAAATGATATATTGAATTTACTGCTGTTGTAGGACGAACGATATCAATCACTACCTGAAAACATAGAGAAAAGAAATAACCACTATAGGCGTCGTTGGTTATAGAAATTATAAGACAATACATGACTATAGTCGTTTTGATCTGCATTATTTTCATCTCCGCAATTTTCCAATCGCCATCCACACGTTATTGGAGATCTTGAAGAATATATGATTGTTTCTTTGGTAATGGCTTGTCGTAGTTTTCTTTCACGTTGACATATTATCACACAACAAGCGATAAGATGAAGAAATACTCCACCATCAATTGATACGATTCCAATAGTGAGTAATGTATTATAGAAACTTGAATCCTTTTTAGCTGCTACGTTTGCACTAATGATAAAGCATATTCCCAATAAGACCATCAAACATAAAATAATACATATGATTTTGAGTTTCTTATTACATGATAACATCGGTTGATTGATTCGATTCATTGATTCTTGAAATTCGTCTGGATTGATAATTCCATTTAGATCATTTTGATATGTTGAATTAAATCCATGTTTACAACATACATCTAAAACGATATACATAAACATATCAAGTAGAAGAAAGGATATTTACATGCATCGAGAGGAATATAAATGGACCTTGGATGTTGAAAAATATTCGTCATACTGGAATTAAAAAGAAAATTTCTTCTTTAATATATTCAGAAAAACACATTTATTCAAACAATTCTCCACACTCAGAATAAAAGTGAGCTGCTAAATCATGTCATAATCTTTCGAAATCAGAATAGGACGATAGAGGATTATTGGGACATTACGTGCAGGAATTGCCGTAGTAAAATCAATTAGTATTTATCTAGAAAATGAACCAGGCAAATCATTTAATGCTATAATGACCATCGGACCAATAAAAACGTCAAATGTAGGAAAAATAATGATTAAAAACTAAATCAATGTTAATCTATTTATTGAATTGAAATTTGAAATTTATCGAGACTAAGAAATATGAATCATTTCGAACTTTAGCTGATTTGTGTTTCGAAGTTGAAACAATGATCAAATTCGGATTTAGATCGAGATTTTTTCATAATACGATATTGTCTTATACTAAATTCTGCCTTTTTTTCTCGGAAAATTCTATAAGATGTAAATATATTATTTGTCGACATAATCTCGGCGAAAAAGCATTCGATTCATAAAATAAATGTCTTAAAAAGTGACTTGTTCAAATATACTGATAAAATGTCTTCAATTGCTTCTTATCAAATATCCACGAAATAAAGAAGAAATTTTTATGATACGAAAATCACAAAAAGAAATCTTTGCTTTGCGACTTGTCCATATAAAAAAAAGATTTTTTAAGACGATTGTTATATGAACTAATTGATTCATTTTATGTATAATGTAATAAATACTTATTAACAAAGATAATCTTTGCTTTACATATTTCTTATTATTTCGCTGGAGTTTTCAAACAGAAACGATGTGATCACATGAATTGACGATTGTTGAGAGTTTGTATGTCATTCGTCCTGCACTCACATTCTCAACCACATCCACAGTTTTTTTTGCTGAATAAAAACTCATGAAGTTATGCAATATATCTGTCTGAACAGATTTTCTCGAAGATAATCGTGTTTAATCTACGTTTTTAGTGAGTAATATGATGTTTACCAAAAGGCGTTGAGTATGAGATAATGAAATAGCAGTGTTATTCGAATTCTTGCTTATCTCACATACGTATATATGCAAATACGAAGACATCTCACTTTTGTGTTCTAAACTGTGGTGCACATTATCATTCTACTGTTATTATTAACTACCTCACCTTCGTTGACAAATACACTCGAATGCTACTGGGATACTTTTATTATACAAAACAGTACTGCAACAAGTCAAAATCTACCTTCGTTCGGCAACAGTCAATTCAAACATGGTAATGAATGTATTGCTCAAATTGATCGGTACGAAAATCCTCCGTGGCCCGCCATAACTCTGTTGGGTATCGATACGACATCAAAAAATGATAATTTACGAGAATCGATTTATACTAATGCTAAACTAACTCTTGATATTGATAGCCCAATAACAATATGAGTATGTTCACTTCTGTATACGTGTAGTTCAACGAATAGATGTAACAATCGAACGATTATTCAACGATTACTCGACTCAATGATTATCGAGGATTCTTTTCTTGAAAATTTCTCTGAATTAATCAAACAGATGCCATTCGATAACAGTACAGCTGCAACATGTCTTTCGTTTCGTAATGTTACTTCACAGTGTGCACAACCAGATTTGAATAATTGCAAACGATGTATAACGAATGTTTATCATTCACATTCAAATATTGATACTATTTGTGCCACTTGTGATACGTCTAATGTTTATGTGAATAATATACAAAGAGAAGTCGAATTTCTTTTAGATAATCGAACACAGCTTGATGATCGAATTACTATCAAATGTCAAGGAAAAGGATGTAATTCGGTAGAAAATATCAATAAAATCCGTCAAACAAGCACGATCACATCGGATTTTGATAAATTATTTGAGAAACATTCGAACGCTCTACCGCTTAACATTTCAACCGTATTCACAATATTTTTTCTAAGCTTTCAATTCATTTTCATTTATTAATTGATTAAAACTAAACGCATTTTTTTTGGTTCTGTAATTCTTCATATAGGGAATTATTTGAAAACAATATTTATGTACTTAATCTACGACCGATTTATAATGTTTTCTTTGTTACACTGGAAAAAAAATCCGGCGTTTAATCAACCCTCAAAAAGGGTTTATGACTGAAAAATTTGTTCATCAACCTGATCTACCCCTAGATCAACCCTTTTTCCATTGATCAGCTTCATCAACCCTCAGTCAAGAGTTTGTCATCACTTAGAAGAAACCCGTCATTTTAGGATTGATGAAGCTGATCAATGGAAAAAGGGTTTATCAATAGAGAATAAACCCTTGGGTTTATCAGCCTGCAACGTATAACAAACCCTTCGTGGGTTTTTGA